CAACCACATCAAAAAGTAATACTAGCAGTGAACGGACTCTTCCTTATATACTGAGGAGTTCCAGGATATATATACAGGAGGAGATACCAACTGTGTACACGATATTCATAGAGACCGAATACCCACCCCGAAAAGACCAAAAAAAGAATACGTTTCGGAGTCACTCAATGAACTGCTAAAATGCTATAATATGATTGATTCATGTGAAATGTTGACAAACTCTAATAATTTGTATACATGGCTTAATAATGCAACACAAGCTAGAATCTATTGTCAAATAACTGGAACACATATAATCAGTTATAATTGTGAACCTAATGTATTTTCCGATCATGACATGTATTCAATAGAAATCCAAATCAATATAACAATAGAAGAAAGAGGAAGAGGGTACTGGAAAAATAATACAAGCATATAAAAATCGGAACAATTTCAATCTGAATTGAAGATTAGATGGGGAAATTGGAAAACACTTAAAGAATTATCTCAAACCAAAGCAGAATGGTGGACTGGAGTCAAAAAAAAAATTAAAGATCTTGTAATAAAATACTTTGTTAAAGCATCACAAGAAGCCAAGAAAGAATATTATGATGATATGAAAGAACTTGAAAATCTGAAGGAAAGGGTAGAAAAGGTGAAAAAATTCACTATTGAAGAAAACAAAACAAAAGATAGCAAAAAAACAGAAAGAAAATAGCAATAAAATAAAGATTCAAGGATTGGCAAATTCATATGATACTAATGAAAAGTGCAACAAAGTTTTCAAGAAACTCAGTAAAAGGCAAAAAATGGCACATATTCATGAGTTGAAGGATGAAAATGGGATGAAACAAAGAAAATTAGAAAATAAAATGCATATAATTCAGACATTTTATCAAAAACTGTACAAAAAAGAAACGAATAGTTACCATATTCAAAACTTTTTAAAATAGTATACCAAGTGAAAAGATGATAGATGAAACGCAGGCTAGTAATATTGAAAAACAAATAACAGAAATTTGGGAAACATTCAAAGAAAATAAAACACCAGGACCGGATGGACTTAGTATTGAATTTTATATGAAAAATTAGAATATAATAAAGGATGACATATATGAAGTAATGAAGGAAATGTTTGAGCAATGCACCATTACGAAAGATATAAAACTAGGGCACACAACAATTATATATACAAAAGGAGAGAAAGATGACATTAAAAATTACAGGCCAATATCCCTTCTTAACAGCGATTACAAAATATTTACAAAACTAATATCGAATAGACTAAAACATGTTTTGACTAAAATTATAGATAAAAATCAAGCTGCAATTCCTGACCAGAAGAATTTCTGATGTTTTGACAATACTAAGGGATATATGTGTACCGGAGCAAAATAAAACTGGTGAATCTCTATATCTATATCATTGGATTTTAATAAAGCATTTGATACTATTGACCAGGATTTCCTGTATAGAACACTTGAACAATTTGGAATGAAGAATAAATTAATTAGTATACTTAAATCTATATATAGCACATCAGAAACAAGAATTTTATTAAATGGATACCTGAGTGAAGCAATTCAACTTGAACGAGGCATTAGACAAGGAGACCCACTGAGCATGTACATGTTTATAATAGCTATAGAACCCATGGTAATATATATCAATTCACATAAAGAAATTCAGGGAATACAAATACCAAGAAATGAGGAAATCAAAAATGTTGGATATGCAGATGACATCACTTTGACGCTAAGGAACAAGACTTCACTATATAAAGCCCTGGAAATATTAAAGAGATTCGAAATAGCTACAGGGATGAAACTCAACTTAAAGAAAACAAAAATACTACGTATTGGGATATGGAGAAATGCTAATTTTCATCAAAATGTAAGAGTAGTAGATGAATTGAAAGTATTGAATGTTATTTTTGCCAATAAAGATACTAGTGAACATAACTGGGACATATGTGCTGGGAAAGTAAAGTCAATGACAGAAGAATTATCTAACACTGTACCTCTGACTTTGGAAGGTAAATGCTTAATAGTAAAAATGAAATTACTACCTTTGTGCTTATATCTAGCTAGAGTGTTTCCAATGCCCACAAAGATTGGAAAGAGAATCAATGAAATGATTGAAATATTTATTTTTGATGGACCATCAAGACTAAAAATTGAGACGTTATGTAAAGCAAAGAATACAGGGGGTTATGACATAATAAACATACCCATTTTCGTTAACTGTCTGTATGCAATGTGCGCAGTTCAATACTGTAATTGGAGGCAAAATAATAGTAATAATATAAGCTATACAACTCTTTTTAATTTAATTGAATTCAATATAGGTCATCAACTAAGTGTTCGTTATAATTTACCTGTAAATAATAGTGTATATCATTCTATTCAACCTAATAGGCATTATAAATGTATTCTAGAGTTCATAAGAGTGCATAATATCACTATAAATGATGTAAGGCAGGGGCATCATAAAACTTTATATGATAAAATTGTTGCTACTTTGAAAAGTGAAAGAATTGTATTTCTAAACAATGGGGATATTCGAACAGCATGTTTGAATATTCATAATAAAATTCTCGCTAATTATGTAAAAACTTTTAACTACAAATTATTGTGGAATATTTTATCGCTTAACAATGTCAAGAATTAAATATATTGCTGGGGATGACCTATGTGTATTTTGTGACAAAGAAGCTGAATTTATAACACATTTATTCTGGAATTACTCGTTTGTGAAACAATTGTATGATTATGTTTTTTCTATTATCATGAAAATAACTAACAGTGGCAACTTAATAAATTATGAAACGTGTAAATTATTAGATTTAAGACACAACAATTATGTACATTTGACCAATATAGAAAAAAATGCTATTATTTTATTGATATGTACTGCAAGATATAAAATTTGGCTGCAAAGAAATGCAGTGATTTTTGAAAATGTAATGCCAAGAGTGAATAATGTAGTCAATAATATAAGAAATTCAATAAAGTGTAGGAGAAATATAGAACGACTGAGAAATTTACCTAATTATTGTGAAGAACTTGATTTATTATGCAAATATATATAAATATGACTAGAAGTGTTTATCGTAACGAAGTTGAACTAATTCTTAAAATTTTCTTTTACATGCAAATTAAAATAATGGTAAATGGCATCATGGAAAATATAATTGATGATGACAAAAAATGGGATTTACAACGGATATGCTACAATATGGATACAAATGATCAATATTTGTTATGGAATTTATACTGTCTCATCTGTATGTAATGATTTATATTATTATTTTATCTATAAAAAAAAAAAAAAAAAAAAAAAAGCACTCTACGACAGAAAATGTGTGTGATAGCTAGTTTACAATATGTTGTTGCATACGTGTTACGCTACGCATTCCTGGAGAGAGTTAATATCAGAATCAGCCTGTAGGTAGACCAATCACATTTTTTTCAATTTTGTCTGCCCATATAAATTTTGCACCGGTATGTAACTAAAAATATCGTAACCCAGTACCGGACTCACAAAACATAAGAAATAAAGTAGCCTAGGTTACGATATTCGGGTAGAATATTGCAGTATTGAGGTGTTTCACAGAACGCAAAGTTACCTGTTGTAACTACGTTGTCTTGAGTGGGAAACTACTAGTTGAAGCCAAGGGTAAATCTAATCTAGGGCCTATCTTGGATTAAACTAAAGAGACGGAGCTTAAGATGGACAACCGGCATTTGATAGTTTATCCACTTTAAAGTATTAAACCAACTTAATGAAATACTATAGGCTGCTGAGATGAAAATATACAGCGAGATATTTTGTGCACATACCACCGTCTTCACCAATCCCCGAGCAAATCAAGTGATCGCAATGGAGCGTGAAGCTGCAGAAACTCGTAACGCGAATAACTTTGTTTGTTTTATTAATGTGGGCGTGGCTTTCTCGGCTAGTTTCATCCCCCTGGGTAGACCTAGCATCATCAGGTCTTGCATAGTTTTAGATTTTGCCTACTTTCCCAATTTTCCTTAGGCTATATGTGTGTGTTGACTTGCATTGCCTATATATATGTTTTAGTGTTACGGAAAATCGAAATGAACTTTAGTGACCGTGCGTTGCGTCTATATTATGTTTGTTACCGAGCGGCGTGGGTTGTTAATGTGAGTGCCCCGTATTGGGTTCGATACTAATTGAGACGTCCTATCGGATTTCTGCGCCCTCGGAATATAACTACTGATTTAAATCTGCCCAAATAGCCTTTTAAAACTACTAAAATTAGGCTTGTTTGCGTTACACTACCCGAGCCGAATGATCGAAAATGGCGTCCATATGACGCCATAATGGGACGAGTTAGTTGCACAGGGTTGCGTAAAAGTACGGTGCTTGTCATCTTGTTGTTATGTAAAATCTATGGGCGATCACTGCCATCAGGGGCGATAGAGATACCCAGAGATGTTTTTGAACGAGTTCGTCGATTTAGCTTTAGGGAAATATTTTCGGTACCGTACCGGTATACCGGTACTGTCCAAATTATCAACTTGGCAAGCGAATTTGTCAGAAAAATATTTCATATCTGACAAAGCAGATAAATTCAAAAAGGGATATAACACACAAGAGCCGTCAGCTTCCTTTTTTGTACCGCGGCGGTGTGGCTCAACGGGCTAAGCGTTAGGAATACGCTCGCCACCGCACCTCTAATTACTCTGCGTGGGTTCGCAGGTTCGAATCCCATGCAGGGATGGTTATGTGCGAGAGGATTGCTGGACTCCTCGCCGTCGTTGGGTGGTTCACGTAACCGCTGGTCGGTTACGGCTTCCTCCACCACCAAGTCCATGCTTCCGAAAACAAACAATACAGTAAAAACTAATCCCATACCCGACTTGGAATGGTAACCGGACGAGAGGCCGTGGTTCGCCATATGGATAAGCCGTCTTATCGGCTTTCCTCTCCCCCGGGATAAATATGTAAATCCTATCCTATCCTACCGGTACCAGGAAAAGAAAAGTTATCAAGTACCGTAATTAATTCCATGCTGACGCTTATTATTTGGTCACAAGATTGAAGGTATAATATTTTAATAGTTGAAATATTAATTAAAAGTTATAGGATAAAGTAGACTATTTAAAATCTTTGTTACTGCAAGAAGGTTTACAACTTGAGTGAACACGTACCACATCTTCTTGGCAAAATCTTCCATCTTATATACATTCTGTACGTTTTAAACCTTATCTAAGGTTTTCTTCGCTCTCCTGATTTCATAATCAGTTTTTATTTATTTTTACCATTCATTTTATTGTTTTGCTGATTATGGAGTCGAAATAAACTTATACTAAACTTATACTTAACTTGCAGACATAGGTTGTGGTACAGAATATTATAGAAATACAGTTCGTTTTTCGCCAAACCTAAATAACAATTTTTATTGAATTGTATACCAATCGGAATCTCATGGGGTGGGTTGCCAACCGTCCTTTATTTCAAAGGACAATCCTTTAATTAAGCTTTTTGGTCCTTCAGCATTAAAAAAAGATGCTAATTGTCCTTTATTCTTTCCAACGTCGTTTTGCCCGATAGTTATAGTAATAGTACGGGACTGTGTTTGATATTGTTCCGTTCTTGAAAAATTGCCTTCGTTTATATATTTGCAAGCTTTTAATTATTCTTTTTAATTTCGCTTTGGTCCGGCTCAAATAGCCAACGAAATAACAATTTTATTAACATTGTTTGGGTAAATGTTAAATGAAAATTAAATAAAAAACACATGAAGATTGTTTTGATATATCTTTTTAGCTTTCATATAATTTTATTATATTGTTCTGCAAGTTACAAAATGAATGATAACGGTAATCTATGTCCTTTATTGAAACTTTCCATAGTGGGCAACCCTGGATGAGACAGAAAAATAATTATGTCCGATGGACAAGCCTGGTTTTTGGGTAGTATGGATTAAATATGCATGAAATGTAAAACTTATACGGTACTTGAAGACTCGTCGTAATTTAATGTTAATAAAATCAATATTTCTTTTCAATGCCCCATGATTTGTATCAATTAAAGTGATTGTGTCAGGAGTTTGAAAACAAGAAATTCAAGATATATTTCTTATCATTATTCTCTCCATTCCAGGACTATGGAGGTTTCCGAAACTGCTTTCAACTCAGCCTGAAGCACATATCAAGGAAATTTGATTGAAATGAATAAAGCTGCTGGACACAGACTCTACTCTAGTCTTGGGTTTGAAAGATGTTTTATATCAAGATTTTCTAACACTTGAAACTAAATAATTAATGCAATGAAAACAAAATAAAATTTAAATGGTTTAATGTAAATTTGTCCAAAATGTTTTGGCTGAAACAACTAAATCAATCGGATCAATAACCTTGCAATTAATGTGAATTTTTTCCCCTTCTCCTGTTTCAGGTTCTGTACTGTTATTGTCCAACCTTACTTTTCCTATTCTAATCTATCATAGTTGGGTCTGATTCAGGATATTGAAATTTTGAATATGAAAACCTTGCATTCATATACTTTTTTGGGGTGCTATCATATTATTGGCCCACCAGTCAGCTAATCCTAAGTAAGGATTAGTTGGATGAGGCAACAGCGAGACATTACACACTGCGATAATGGACTGGTTTGAACTTCTAGATCAACTCTAATCAGCCTAGTATCAAGCGAATGTTTCATGGGTGCCTGTCTACTGTCTTGCTGAGAGATCAGAATTAAAAACCTTGATCAAATCGAGAGTTTTTTCATTCTGAATGAAATAAATTGCAGGTACTCCTGTAGTATGTGGACCAAGATGGGGAAACCAAAACGTAGTATGTGTACCAGTTTAGGATTAGGCCATAATTTGATTCCAATTTTCCTTATTTTAGTTCTATTATGTGTTCGGGGACTAGTCAAGTGACTCCTGTAGTATATGTACCTGAAATTATGGCCTGGTACACATACTACGTTTTGGTGTCCGCCATTTTGGTTTGCATACTACAGCAGTACCAAATCGCACTGTAAATAAATTCATAAAATCCCATGTGGTAAATAAATTGGATTCTTAATTTCAAATAGGAAGAAAATATTGCGATCCGATCTCACCAACATGGAAACGGATGATTTGCGAGTGTGATACGACCATCAGAACACATTGGAACTCATCATGACCAAGTAAGACAGCAGATGATGAAGTTTATAAAGCATCAAAAGTATCAACATTTTTCAAAATCCCAAGGTTAGGAAAAGTTAATTGTTTTACTAATTTTTTTTTAAAGGTTAAAATACCATGTATCTAAAGCAAATAAGAACAACTTGCTAACTAATCCCATATTATGTAATGTTGATATGTAAATTAGCTTTAATATACCGTATATGCTCGTTTGACCGCCCGATCTTGATTAAGGGCCCGTTTGAATAGCCGCCCATGTGAATAGAACATAAAAATAAATTAGGGCTGGTGCTTGAATACCCGCTCGATGTAAAAGCTGATTTTTCAGTGGTAGAGAAGAATAGGAAATAAGAAGCGCTTTTGTCACACCGCTGTTGAATTTTAAGCGCTGGTAGATAACACTCACGCCTTCAGCGTCCAATTACATAACAGATAGCATTGATTACGTAACACCTTGGTTCTCAAACTGGGCGTCGCGACGCCCAAGTGCGTCGTTTCAATATTGATTGGGCGTCGCAAAGTTTTTCTTCTTTTGCGGATTTGTACCTGCGGTGCGTAGAAAAAGTCAAAATTTTTGGTATTCTCATTTAAATCATCAAGCGCCCGTGCCTGAATAAAGGCCGGTTTGAATAAGGGCCTGGTTAGTGAGTTTGGTTAAAAAAATATGGGCCCGGGCTACAAAACAAGCAAATACGGTATTCCTATTGTTGTGCACAAGTCACACTCCAGCTTTTTCTACACTTCGGGTAGTTTATAATGTCATAGCTAATCAAATCAGTAATATAGTAATGATAAAGAGTTCCGCACCAAATTCAGGTAATTCCACCTTGGTTGGGAAAAGAAGCTCCATAGTATTTCGAATTGTTTTAAACTTCTCAGGGCCCTGGAAACACAATAGTTAACTAATGATTTTCTATCTTATTTTCTGGTTAGACTTTAAGAATATTTTAAATGCTCAGATCATAAAAATATTGTCCACATCATTAATGCTGAATGCGTCATATCAGAAATATTTTAAATTAAAAAAAGTAGCGTTTATGTGGGCTATACTGCAACAATCAAACTTATCAATGCTCTCCACCATACACTTCCAAATGATTTAATTTCATCTAATATCCCAGAATCATGACAGCGCTGCTGAAAGTCTTGCCGAACAGGCTTCAACTCTCAAGAAAGAGATGGAAGCGAGAAACACATATCAAGAAAATTTGATTGAACTGAACAAAGTTGCTGGACACAGACCAAGGTCTACTTTAGTCTTAGGTACGACAAATTTTTACAGGAAATAGTACTAGCTTTGCTCATTTTGTAACGCAATATTTATTCTATTACCTTAACTTGATATATATGTATGATATTTCCGGACATAAATTGATCGTTTTTTATTTTGTACCAAACTCTGCATGAACAGAAAAATTCAATTTGAAATTAATCAAGAACTAGTCTAAAATTAGTGGTTATTTTAGATCAAGGGTGCGCAATAGGAAGCCTGCGGGCCACAACCCGGCCCACCAAGCCGTTCAGTGTGGCCCTCGTCAACGCTCGGATTCTCCCCATCAAGCATAAAATCTGAATCCAACAGTTTATGTTTAAAAAGTCGCTCATGTGGTTAAAAATACATCTTTTCGCTGCCTTAAATCTTTGCTGTTATGCCAGTGCCTGTAATACTGTAAGGCTGAGCAACGGCCATATTATATTCTTAAACTAATTTTTTGTGTGGCCCGGCTAACTGTATGAAGTTGGGTATATGGCCAACCGACAAACAATGTTGCAGGCCTTTGCTTTAAAAGGTATAAGTTTTGAAGAGAAAAAATATAAATATTGATCCAAAATTGTAAATAATAATCAAATGTAAATCTCAAATAATAGTTCTGATGGAAACAAAATCATATTTGCTCAATTCCCATTTTTATCTTCAAGATATTCAGCAAGAAAATATTGCAATTCGGTCCCTACAACATGAGAACGATGAATTGCGACAAAGTTTGACCGACCACCAGAACGCATTGGAACTTATCATGACCAAGTACAGACAGCAGATGATGAAATTTACTAAGCACCAAAAGTATGTGGATCTTGTGAATGTATTTCATATTCTCAGGGAGAGGAAATTCTATTGTTTTACTATAAAATGGCTGTATTATTACTAATGAACATTTAATTGAAGGTCAATTCTTTCAGAATACCTTATGGTTCTAATACGAACAATCATTTTTCCCGTAGAAATGGCAAATTAAGGTTTTTATCCTCGGTTTTGGTCAGTTCAGTGCAGCGGCTCCAAAAGTTTACATTCAAATACGACAGTCTATATAATATATGTACAGGGTGTCCATGAAGTCCCTTTACAATTTCAATTTTGTTGTGAAGTCAGTTCTCAATATATCTTAACCATTTGTTTTTAAAACGGTAATTGTTTAAGTATTTTTACTCAATTTAATACACCTGTGAGGGCCGAAACAATATATGACATCAATAAATTACTTTCCAATTTTGATAAATTTTATGGACACCCTATATATTGTTAGAATAATATCAAATACTTGTACTTGTATTTCGAACAGAATATACTTTTTATTAGGTTTAACATTATTATCAGACCTGCTACACTTTAAATTTACTATGTTTTGCAAGTATTAGTGTTAAGTATTGTACTGGGGTACCTTGATCCTATGGAATGTTCCAATGGGGTTCCACTCCACCAAAAAGGGTTGAGAACCAGTGGATTAGGCATATTGGAGCGACAATTCTAGGAGCTAAGAACAACACATTATAGCATGGGGTGTGCAACCTTTAATACAGGAGGTCCAGATAGAAATAACTGAGCGAAACCTGTTACGGCATTGTAAAGTCGTAGGCATGTATGAACTAGATTAAGGTATTGGCTTCGCAACGCACAGGGATTGGAATTACTCGCACGTACCAAGTTGAATTTAATTGAAAACTGATTTCGTGGCCCGTACACATTCAAAATTGCCACTCTTGTGGGCCGCATTTGGCCCATGGGCCAGTCGCAGGTTGCACACACCTGCATTATAGTATTTGTAAATTAATATTAAAAATCAAATGCTGTATAGCTGAATAATGTTCACAAAGAATAATTATGAAGTTTTACTTGGATTCAAATATTTCAACAAAATCAATGAACCGTGACTTAGCAGCATTTATAATTTTATTTATATCTTTTGTTTTCAGCATCCAGATCACTGAAAATCCTTATCAAGCAGAAAAACAATATCAAGAAGAGAATATGGAGCTCATTGATAAGGTATTGAAACCAAGGTCACTCTAGTCCACAAATATGTTGGAGTCAGGGGGGTAGTTTTCAAAGGGAAGGGGGGATTCTGAAATTTCTGTTTGCCAAGTTTGATCGGAACAGCTAGCGAGTCCGGTCGAACGCCAGAAAACGTGTAACAAGCGTTTCAAGCTACGGAAAATTGCTATGTGTGGTACAGAAAGATGCTTTTATTTTATTTTTTATTTCGAGGGGGGGTTCCGACCCCCAAAACCACCCCCTGGCTACATCCCTGGTTGTAGTGCTTGGTTACGCCATCCCACAGTTTAGTTAGCCTGACATTTCAGTTTAGTGGAAATTTGATTCTTTGGATTGATGAGAAATATATTATTCCAATATCTAAATTCATTAGGTATTTCCTGCTAAATATCCCGTAATTGCTGTAAATATATGAACTCTGACCACCTCAAAATTGTGGCATGGCAAATTGTGAGAGTAAGCCTGGTGGTATTGAGCATTTTTATGTATAATCTTATAGTAGAAACAGTGTGTACCAATATGGAGGTAACTAATTTTGTTCGCCTATTTTACATCAAGTTGTGTAGAGGGACTGAAAGCTATGGGCAGGGGGTATATTCACTTGACTAACATAGACGATCCCTGATCTCGTAATAAAACTAAAATCGGAATAAAATTATGGCCTAACCGTAACCTGGTACACACACTAAGACAGTACTGAAACAGGCATCCTGATTAATTCATTATATATTTGCCACTGATATCGAACAATATGTAATGGGCTACTATTAGTTGAAGGACTGGAATCTTTCTTTGACAATAA